AAAATGAAATCAGTATCCGAAAGAGCTATCTGCACTCCATGTTCATTGTAGCATTATTTACAAAAGTCATAATAAGGAAATAATACCAATATATTACATATAATAGTATATAGTATATATGCCATATACTATACTGTATAGTACTATATATAGTATAGATACTCAAACTATAATAGTATAAAGCATAGTATAATAGTATATATTATAGTATGTAGTATATATTAATACATTATATATTAATACTATTATATTATATTTAATGTAATATACATTACTAATATATAGTGTTAATTATATTATATATATTATAGCATATGGTATATATAATATACCATATCATGCTGTATACACTATATACTATAATATATACATGTACTATATACAATGGTATATATATACCATATACTATATACAATGGTACATATATACCATATACTATAATATATATAATAGTATATATTATTAATTAGTATATATTCCATTCTCACTGTAATACTATTCAGCTTTTAAAAAGAAGGAAATGTTGCCATTTGTGACAATATCGATGAACCTGGGAGCCATAATTCTAAGTGTAATAAGTCAGATAGAAAAGGATGCATGATCTCAATTATATATGGAATCTAGAAAAGTCGAATTCATAAAAGCAGAGTGGGATGGTGGTTACCAGAGGCTGAGGTGTGCAGGAAATGGGTATAAAGGTTCAGTCATGTGGGATGAAGAAGTTCTAGAGATCTACTACACACCATGGTGACTATAGTTGACCATACTCTACTATATACTTAAAATTTGCTAAGAGAGTTGACCTTATGTGATCTCACCACACACACACACACACACACACACACACACAGCGCTAACTATGTTGAAGTAATGGATATGTTAATTAGCTCAATTGTCATAATCATTTACCAATATATATCAAAACCTATTTTATACCTTAAATGCATACAATTTTTATTTGTCAAGGACAGTTCAATAAAGCCAGAAAAAAATAAATTTCGTAAAAAGACACTACCCTTTGTCTCATTGACACTACAACCTTTCATTGATCTGTCTCTGGCAAAATGCAAAAAGCAGAGGATAATAAAGGCATTATGAATTTTTAAAAAAGATCCCATTCACAATGGCATGAAAATCCAAAGATCACCTAAGAAAAGGCTTTTCACAGCAATGTTCAAGACCTTTAGGAGAGAGACAACTATAAAATGCTCCTGACAGACTCAAAATACTGGAAATATGTTAATTGCCCTCAAGTTATTTATGGATTTACTGCCTTACCTGTATGTGCCAAGACAAGCTTGGGGTGCTGTGTTCCACTCTTGATTCAAAGTGAATGGGCTGACGTCCATGGAAGGCGAAGGCCAACTCAGTCCTGGAAGTCAAGGTAGTGACTCTGAGGGAGAACTAAGAACTCCCACCAGGAAGAGATAGGTCCCCACGCCCATCCTACCCCAGCTGTTAGCCTTCAGAGACCCTGGGACGTGATGACCAGATGTGGCCGATCCCGGTTTTTACTAGAGGGGGCGGGGCACATTTTCAGGGAGGTAAGGGCTTTGATCTGAGGGGATGGGGCTCAGGTTAGCAGAGGGAGGAACCCCAGAAACGAGTATCACTTAACCACTCACATCATCTGCATTTGAGGGGTGGGCATCTCAGGGAGATGCGGGCCTTATGAAGGCACGGGGTACAGGCCCTATCAGGAAGAAATATAAATACTTGTGGAGGACTGTGAACCCCCAACCCACAATATATAAGGAGCCACAAGCCTGCCCTACTGTCAGCTCTGACAGACCCCACTCAGGCCTGTCACGCCAAGACCGAGCCTCACTCCTATTTTGGTGAGATTAAAGGCCTTGACCTGAGGGATGAGGCCTCTGCTCAACAGAGAGCCGGGGAGAACTCAGCCAGCGCAAGAAGTCAAGGGAAGGATCGGGAGTTTTCCCATCCCAAGTAGATCGGAGCCTGCCCTAGGAAACACCAGGCTGAGTACAGGGATCTGAGTGCGGGAGCTGAGGGAAACTCTGAGAGGGCTGGACTCCAGTCAGCAGAGGGAGTTCAAGGTCAAGAACTAGGAGGAGGGGCGAGGGGCCCTCTCACCAGATAAAAGCTGCCCCGAGTTCTTCCCTGCCCCCACAGTCGTCCCTGGAAGGCCCCAGGCAGAGTTCCCAGAGTGACGTAACCCGACTTCCGCCTTAGGAGTCTGAGGGACGAGGACAAGCTTGCTTCATCAGTTAGGTTGGGGATCCAGGTCGCCAGAGGGAGTCCCAGGAGTGGACTCAAGTCCTCAGAGGGACGTGGCCGGGATCTCGCACCCTTAAGGTGAGAACTCAGAGAAAGGACTGAGTGTAGCTTTCGGCCGCAGAGCGGGTGCCCCACCCCCTCCCCTGTTGCCTGGCCGGAAGTACCCACGCTGTGCCCCGGATGTGGTTTATCCCGACATCCCTCTTGGGAGTCTGAGAGACTCGCTGTTTTCGGACAGAGGTAGACTCTTGTTTGTCTGAGGGACGTGTCACAGGTTGTGGGAGGCTAAGTTAAGGTGAGGACCAAGAATAAGGACTGAGGGGAGCTCTCACTCTTGCCCTTACCCTCACCTTGCTCATTGTCTGCCTTAAAAAGCTCCTCGCAGGGCCCCAGATATGGTGTTATCTGGACCTCCATTTTGAGAGCCTGAGGGAATAAGGCTTTTTTCTGACGGGGCGTGAACTCAAGTCCTCAGAGGGAGGAGGTCCAGGCTCTGCCACGCCTTAAGGTGAAGACCTTTATGGAGGACTAAGGGGGTTTCCTTCCAGACAAAAGGGAGCACATCGAAGCCCTTCCTGGTCGTCGGCCTTGGGTGGCCCAGAGCAGAGCAGTTAGTCAGAGGCCCCTCCCCCAATCCTCTGTACTTCCTTATGGGTGTTTTCTGGGAGGTGGGAGCCTTGGCCTGAGGGCCTCAGTCTCAGGTTCACCAAAGGCAGAGGGTGCAGGCCCTGTCAAGAGTAAATACGAAGGCCTTGGGAAGGACTGTGGCTCTGCCCCACCACAGAACCCTGAGGAGCCTCCACAGAAATTTATCCTGATCCCTTCTGTCAGCCCTGGGGACCCCGGGATATACAGTCGGGCTGACCCTCCTTCTATTTCCAAATCGGGGGCCTCGGGGAGGTGAGAGCCTTGGTCCCCACATCCTGGTGATCAAAACGAGGAGTTTCAGGCCCTGCCAGGTATAAACGTGACGATCTTTAGGGCTGAGAGGAAAGAGACGGCCCCACAGAAGCCTGTCTTTTCTTTCAACTGTGAGAGGCCCTAGGCTGGCCTGTCAGACACAGATGTCCCCTCCGCCCTCCTCACTTCCTTGCCTAGGTCTTTGGGAGATGGGGGTGTTTACCTGAGGGGAACATTCTTAAATCAGCAAAAAGTGGTTCCAGGCCCTATCACGGATAAATGTGAATACCCTGAGGAGAGCTGAGGGTAACCATCAAGCCCAGAACACAGAGAGGATTGTGCAGATACCCACACAACCCAGGCGGTCAGCCCTAGTTTACATCAGGCAGGCCTGGCAGGCTCGCTCCCTTCTTGGCAGCATTAGGGAGGGGCCAGCCTTGGTCTGAGAGGTGCAACCTCAGGTAGAGGGAGGAGCCCCAGCCCTGAAGAAGGCAAGGTGGGGAATCAGGTGGGACTGGAGGACCTTCAACTGTGGCTAGAGGGGTCTCCAGCCCTGTCCTACTTCTGCTCTCAGCCCTGTGAGATTCCAGGTAGAGCTGTTAGGCAGAAGCAGCTTCCAGAAAACCCCTGTGCTCCCCCTCACTTATTTGTCTGGCATCTCCGGGAGAGAGAGCCTTGGGATGAGGGACGCAGCCACAGGTCTGCAGAGAGGAAAGAATGCAGGCCCGATGTGCATAGCCAGTGGAGGGCTGAAGGTGATTTCCATTCCAGGCAAAGAGGTCCCCACAGAAACCTGCCCCGCCCCTGGTAGCCCACAAGCATGTCAGTCCATCTCATTTCCAGCTGTCATGGGTGGGGGGGGGGGGGTGGAGGCTCTCAGGGAAGTAAGAATCTTTGTCTGAAAAGGCCACTCAGGTCACCAAAAGTAGGAATCTCCTGCTGGGGACTAAGGTAAGTACCATGAGGGATGACAAAATGTACCCACCATCCCCAAACATCCTGGGTCTAACCCCTGCTCTCAGCCCTGGAAGCTCTTGAGCAGGGATGGTTGGATGTGATCCCTTTTCACTTGTCTCACGGGTCTCAAGGAGGTGAAGGCCTTGGTCTTGACAGGGCAACTTCACATCAGCAGAGGGAGTCATGTCAGGCCATCCCAGAGAGGAACCCCAGGCCTTCCCAGAGTTAAAATGAGGATGCTGAATAAGGATTGGGGGTCCTCCCCACCTCCGACCCTTGGAGAGATAAGCCCCCTTCTCCACCCTGCTTCTGTGCAGGGAAGCCCTGGTACACAGCGTCCAGATGTAATGCACCCTCACTGCTACTTGGACTACCTGATGGTCTCAAGGAGTTGGAGTCAGTTAGCAGAGGAGTGAGTCTACCTACGGTTCTGCCAGGAGTTAATGTGAGGATGGAGGAAGGGGTGGACCCCTACCCAAGAACAAATGGGGCCCAGCTCCCCCTGGCCCTGCTGTCAGACAAGATAGGACCCAGGGCATGGTGGTTGAATGTGAGACCCCCTGCACTTCCTCCTTTCACGTCTCATGGCAGTGAGGCCTTGGTTTAAGGAAGGTGATCTCAAGTCAACAGAGGAGGGAGTCCCAGACCCTGCCAGGCATCAAGGTAAGGACAGATGACCCGCTATTCCAGAACAGGGATCCCCGGAGTCCATCCAGCCCTTCTCCAATCAGGAAGACAGGAGACCCCTCGAGTACTAAGTAAGGGAAGACCTGTTATGAAGGCCTTTGTCTGGAGCTGACAAAGTTGCGGTTTTTACACCACTTCTCTCTCCCTCAGGCCAGTTGGTTGCCATCACCCATCTCCTGCCCATACTCTGCCTGCTGACCCCAACACAAGTCATCATGCATTACAGTGCGAGTCAGAGCCACCAGCTTGAAGTAGATCTTAAGGCCCAAGAAGACGCTGAGAGCCTGGTAGGTGGAGAGGTTCCTGCAGCTGGGGAGAAGGAAACTGCCTCTCCTCCCCTCTCTCCTTTGATCCAGGGCACCCCAGGGGGGGTGCCTGCTGCTGGAAAACCAAGTGTTCCCCAGCAGTCTCAGGATGCCTGCTCTTCCTCCACCACCATCGAAGCCACTCCATCGACGAGCAAATCAGATGAGGGCCCCAGCGGCCAACAACAGGATGTGGTTCCCTCCCGGGCTGGCCCAGATCCTGAGCCCTTGCTCGGTGGTGCCCTAGACAAGATGGTAACTGAGTTGCTGCAGGTCCTGAGTGTCAAGTATATAACCAAGGAGCCCGTCACAAAAGCAGAAATGCTAAAGGCCATCAAAGGGCACGAGAACCACTTCCCCGTGATCTTCAAGAAAGCCTGTGAGTGCATGGAGGTTGTCTTTGGCCTTGACGTGAAGGAAGTGGACCCCATCAACCACTCCTACGTGCTGGTCAAAACCCTAGACCTCAGCTACGATGGGATGCCAAGTGATGACCAGGGCATGCCCAAGACCGGCCTCCTCATCCTTATCCTGGGTGTGATCTTTATGGAGGGTGACCGTGCCACTGAGGACAAGATCTGGAGGGTCCTGAACAAGATCGGAGTGTACGCTGGGAGGAACGACTTCATCTATGGGGAGCCCAGGAAGCTCATCACCAAAGACTTCGTGCAGGAGAAGTACCTGGTATACCGGCAGGTGTCCGACAGCGATATCCCGTGCTATGAATTCCTATGGGGCCCCAGGGCCCACGCTGAAACGAGCAAGATGAAAGTCCTGCAATTTTTTGCAAAGATCGCTGGCACTGACCCCACTTCCCTCCGATACTGGTATGAGGAAGCTTTGAGAGATGAGCGGGAGCGAGCCCAGGCCACAGTGGCCACCACCGATGGTACTACTGTCACAGCCAATGAAAGTGCCAGTGTCCTGTCCACCAGCGTCTCTCGCCCTGGGTGAAGCCTGAGGAAGATCCTCCACTCTGTGGTTAAAGAGGGCAATCAAGGGTCTAAGTAGTGGAGGACTGAATTGCAGATTTCATCTTTTTTTTCTTTGGTATTTTTCAAACGTTCTTCCTTCTAAAAGGGTTGTTAGCTTCATAGTCTGGGTCCGTGAATGACCCTGGTCACATGTTTCTTGCTATTTATTAGGCTTAAGAATATGAATTTTGCTTTTCAGGAAAACATATTGGGAAACTTCCAATCTTATTTTCTGATCTGGAAGATAGCATGACCTGGATAGTGGAATTTCCTGGAAAATATGGAAGAGCAATGAAATTGATGGGATGGAGAAATAGAGGGGGAAATGGACAAGATGATTATGCTAAGATTCCTGTATCTCATTTAGTCTGCCGCCTAGTAAAATTAATGATCTGTACCTGGATTTGTTTGGCTAAAGTGTGCATGAGAAATTAAATCTTAATAAAGGAAAGCCCTGGCTCACTGGCTCATTTATTCTTACAAGCGCTTTACAAGTAACAGAAAAGTCTAGAAGAGATCATGGGTAAACCAGAGAGAAATCTCCACCGGGGATACCTATGGAAGGCGCTCTGCACCCTTGTTCCCATGCCATGGAGGAACACAGTGCACTGATCAAGTGTTCCATATGCATTGTCAACAAGAGTTCCTGAGAATAGGGCGACAGTTCTTTGAAGTGATGCCTGGGGGCTGGCACTTTTTCCCTGGCCTGGGAGAGCCGAGAGCCCATGCCTTTGAAAGGGCATTTTAATTAGGTTATCTTGAGTGTGATTTGGCCAGCTCTAAGCAAGGGCTAGACTCTCGGTGGGGGTGAAATGAGTGAAAATTGTGGTTTGGATGGAAGAGCAGCTGGGAGGGAGGAAGAGTTAGTCCTTGACTCCAATTCTAGGAGCTATGAGGTTGCATTCTGCTGGGGAAGACTTCCCCATTTCCAAATTAAATACTATATCCACTAACAGGGACACTGTACAGAGTTTTATTTACAAAGCAGCATTTTGGGCTCACTCGGTGGTTTGTGTCCTGCAGTGTTGTGTCCAACATTCTCCGAGTTGTCATGGAAAACACACAGTCAATCCCAGAGGAGAGAGTGATAGAGTCTGGGTCAAAACCATATTAGAAATCACTGCTATTTATTTGGGGCACCTGGGTGGGTCATTTGGTTGAGCAGAGGACTCTGGTTCAGGTCACGATCTCACAGTTCGTGAGTTCAAGCCCCACATCGGGCTCTGTGCTGACGGCGCAGAGCCTGCTTCAGATCCTCTGTCCCCCTCTCTGCCCCTCCATGCTTACACTCTGTCAAAAATAAACATTTTTTAAAAATCACTGCTATTTATTAAAGATCCAGGTTCCTCAAAAAGTTAAAATGAGAACTACCCTATGACCCAGCAATTGCACTACTAGGTATTTATCCAAGGGATACAGGTGTGCTGTCTCGAAGGGGCACATGCATGCCAATGTTTATAGCAGCGCTTTCAACAATAGCCAAACTATGGAAAGAGCCCCAAAGTCCATCGATGGATGAATGGATAAAGAACATGTGGTATATATACACAATGGAGTATTACTCAGCAATCAAAAAGAATGACATCTTGCCATTTGCAACTATGTGGATGGAACTAGAGGGTATCATGCTAAGTGAAATTAGCCTGAGAAAGACAAATATCATATGCCATCACTCATATGAGGACTTTAAGATACCAAACAGAGGAATATAAGGGAAGGGAAGCGAAAATAATACAAAAACAGGGAGGGAGACAAAAACATAAGAGACTCTTAAATACAGAGAACAGAGGGTTTCTGGAGGGGTTGTTGGGGGGGGGGGAATGGGCTAAATGGGTGAGGGGCATTAAGGCATCGACTCCTGAAATCATTGTTGCACTATAGGCTCACCCACTTGGATGTAAATTTAAAAAATAAATTTAAAAAAAATTGACCCTTGAACAACAAAAAATTTTTAAAAAATCCAATAAAAGCCAAGCACTGTACCAGGTACTTTACTTGCACTACATATCATTCTAATAGTCCTACAAGACAGCTCATCAAGCCCACTCCCCAGGTAAAGACCTAATGCGCACGGCACTTGGCAGTTTGCCCAAGGTCACAGGTCCGGTAAGTGACAGGGCTGGGACTAGATCCCTGGTCTGAATTCATCTAAACCCAGGCTGTTCTCACTCCTCCCAGCCTGAGGCTCACCTTTTGTCTTTTGGCTCATTTCTCTTCTCTACTCTGTAATGTCTTTCAGGCAACGAAAAGAAGGGCCCTGTGGCCAAAACGGGCACAGAGGAAGGAAGGGGACAATGAGAATGAAAACACTAGTTGGGGACTGTCTGGGCTTTATTTACCTACCGTCCGGCCTGCCTGAGGCCCAGAGCTCGTGGGAAGGTGACTGCCCAGGTGCTGGCATGTGTCCAGTCCTGGCACGTTCCTACATGACGGCCCCCTTCCCTTGGTCTCCCTCTGTCTGCCTCCCTGTCCAGCTCTAGAATCTGGCCTGCTGACTGCTCATCACTTTCTCTTCCTTTGAAGACCTGGGCTCCCAATGGAACAGCCCCAATCACCCGTCTTCTCCCACACACGGGGCACCCTTACTCTCTGCGGAAGGACGAGATAGATGTAGTAGTAGCAGATCTAAGCAGTATATCTAAGTAGTAGACAAGGAAAGACCACAGAAACCACGAGGTAAGCAAACAACTATAGGGGCTGATTCCTAAAACCCCCAAGTCCTAGGGGGTGCACAATGGTTCTCTGGTGGACATGTTAGCTCTGGTTTAAAAAAACAAAAGTTAGGGTGCCCAGGTCGCTCAGTCAGTTGAGCATCTGACTCTTGATTTTGGCTCAGGTCATGATCCCTGTTTCATGGGGCTCAGTGCTGAGTGTGGAGCCTACTTGGGATTCTGTTTCTTTCTCCCTCTGCCTCTTACTCCCTCGCACTTATGCTTGTGTGCTTGCTCTCTAAAAAGAAAAAAAAATAATAAAGGTAAAAAAATTAAAACTAGGGCGCCTGGGTGGCTCAGTCAGTTAAGCATCCAACTTCGGCTCAGGTCATGATCTCACGGTTTGTGAGTTCGAGCCCCAGGTCGGGCTCTGTGCTGACAGCTCAGAGCCTGGAGCCTGCTTCAGCTTCTGTGTCTCCCTCTCTCTCTGCCCCTGCCCCAGTCATGCTCTGTCTCTGTTTGTCAAAAATAAATTAACGTTAAAAAATATTAAAAAATAAAAATCAAAACAACAAAAAAAGACAATAAATAACACAGAGGGCCTTCCCTGACTTTGTACCCGTGTTTCACTACAAAGGCAGAACCCTTTCAAGTACTCAAATTATGAGGATTTCCACTCTAATGGGAAGAGGAATTAATCCCAGCCATGTGTGAGTTCCAGAGTTCTCTTTCTGTACGGCAATCTCCTCTTAGTTTCCTGTCCTGCAAATTTTAGCTACCTTGGCTTTCCTGGACTCCCAGCTCCATCTCAGCTCAAGGAGACTGTCTAGGCCTCCCCCTCCTTGTACGCATGCATTATCTTCCCAGGCATATGAACTAGGGTGTCCTTGGGGCGCCTGGGTGGCCCAGTTGGTTAAGCGTCTGACTTCGGCTCAGGTCATGATCTCATGGTTCGTGGGTTCGAGCCCCGTGTTGGGCTCTGTGCTGACAGCTCGGAGGCTGGATCCTGCTTCAGATTCTGTGTCTCCCTCTCTCTCTGCCCCTCTCCTGCTCACACTCTGTCTCTCGCTCTCTCAAAAATCAACATTTAAAAAAAATTTTTTTAATAAGAAAATGAACTAGGGTGTCCTAGAACTTACCTTCTTTGTTTCCCATTTCTTAGAGATCGCAGTCCTTCATGGCCAGATGTCTAATACATTGAAAAGTGTTTCGTATTTTTCATTTGTATTTTTGGGTATATCAGGTAGCAGTTGGGTCTCTGTTACTTCACTGTGGCTAAGAGTCCTATAATCCAAATTTAAAATCTAAATTATCTAGGCATGATTGATGCCCCCAAATTTCAATATTATCCAAATTAAAAATCAGGATTGAAAGGCTGTGGGACACATTTATGTTAATAGACATACTAACCTACAGCCAGGAGAATATACAGCAAAACACCCGCAAGGTTATTCTCTGTGAGAAGTGTAAGTGATCCCTTTGTTTTCTTGTGTGTGGTTTCAAAAACGTCCAACGTTTATGAAACACATGAATTATCTTTATAATTACACATGTAAATATTTTAGAGGCGCCTGGGTGGCTACGTCGGTTGAGCATCCAACTTCACCTCAGGTCACAATCTCATGGTTCATGAGTTCAAGCCCCGTGTCGGGCTCTGTGCTGACAGCTCAGAGCCTGGAGCTTGCTTTGGATTCTGTGTCTCCCCCTCTCTCTCGGTCTCTCCCCTGCTCGCGCTCTGTCTCTCTCTCTCTCAAAATAAATAAACATTAAAATATATATATAAATATTTTAAAATGTGATTTTGACTACTGAAAATAAATGCACATTCTCTGGATGGTTTGTTTACAATATTGAACAATCTCTTGCCGGATTCTACCCACTTCCCGCATACCTCCTGCTTGTTTGGCTAGAAAAAAAACACAATGCAACTCATTTCATGAGCTATGTGTAGCTCGGCACCTTTCCTCACACTTTCAAAGACAACGATATACAGGTAAGAATCAGTCTTCTTTTTAAAGCCCTCTCTCCAAAAAAGCATTCACGTATTTTAAATGGGGGAATTATATTTACATCTAAATCATATTCTCCACGATTTGATTGAATCTAATATTTATAGGAAGCATAGTATATAGACAATTTTAGGAGAGGGAATAAGAATTATCACATTCATTACTAGGAGTGTTGTTTACATCTCTTGTCAAAGCTCCTAATAAATAAACCATGCTATTTTAAAAATAGATTCTTTAGTCATTACTGCAATAATTCTGATAGTGCCTGAAATGCACTTTTGTTTTCCTGATTGATGCAACAGTTTCATAAGAATGTTTATCCTTCCTTCATGGACTAGCACACAACTATCAACACAGTTTCTTAATAAACAATTGCCCTTTACAAATTAAATACCATTAAAAAGTGCTGATTCATAATTTTTA